AAGTGTTGTTGGAACTGTCCTGATGATTAATACTGGCTAAATAAAGTGTGTTTCGATACTTCATCAAATGTCGACGTTATTCACTCCAAATCCACACGATCCCCGTACGCACGTGAAGGACGAAAATAATGTAACAATATTTTAGAGATTATAATAGTATAGAATAAAATAATAGAAAGATCTGGGGAAAATATCAAAATACGTAAGACGTAACGTAAAACATTTAAGATTACATAGATTTCTATTGTGATTCGAACAGAACTCGAAGCCTGTAACCTCTTTGGACATTTTTTTCTTAGGATTTTTTGCCATGGATTAATTTTATATTGGTTTATTTAAGATTAGTATACACAGAGCTAGCTGCAAGAGAATTTAATTCTGTTAAGTATGGGCAGTATATAAGGATAATATATTAGAAGTCCGTTATCCGACAGTTTGAGAATTCTGAGTATATTTGCAGGTCAAGGCAAAGAATTTCGTAATGACGCTCGACAGCAAGGAAGTCTCATATTTGAAACAAGCGGTCTAACCAGCGTCGCTAGATATTGGACAAAGATGATTTCAAGATAGTATGTAGATTTATTTTCAACAACCGAATCGTTAAGACCTCTGAGACTCGTGGTTTGATCAAGGTAGAAACCTAGGCGATCAGGATAGATGCAGGGTGTGTTTCGCGGTTTTCTCCATGCCTAACGTAAATATGAGGCACTTTCTTTTAAAGTTTTTTCCACGAAAGCATCCCTTGCATTGGGCAGATAGCTATCGCGTGCTTTTCCAAATTCAGATAACCTAGCATAACTTATTCAAGTCAGAATGCACCTTTGAATGAAGGCCAGATATGCTGAATTTATAAAGGAAATAAATTTTAAAATGCAGTTACGAATATAAATATGCAAGAATCTTTCCCATTTAATATATAACTTTCATGCAGTTGCAGCTGTTTTATTTAAGCGGTTTCAGACTGTGAACAGCTATATTTTGATGTATGTTAGTTTCTTATACGGACTTTTAAATGACTATATTAAGTTTAGTTTACCTTAAAAGATTTTGTTTAAGTGCTCGTAAAATGTTCGGAGTTTTAGTGTTAAATTTAAAGGCATGTAAATCACCAAGAAGTTCAGTTATTCATAAAATAAGAAAGAATAAAAATTTTCAAGAAAGACTCAGTAAACAGTTGGCCATCATCAATTGGTCAGAGTATTATATGTCTTAAGTATTCTTTTTAATTGGGAAATTTAGTTGACCCCTTCTAGTAACGGCGTTCAGTTGCTGTAGAAAGAAACAGTAAGGAATCAACGCAAATCTAAAACACATTTGGTTCTAGATCAAAGAACAGCATGCGACACTTATAAATGCTTTTATCACTGGGAACAGTTTTACAACAATTACAAGAGTTTTTGCTTAAATTATTATTGTAATACTGGATCATATCTGATATACCTAAATCATCCAACAACTGAAAATTAAATGTGAAGTTAAGGAAGATAGATCGATCCGGTCTCCGCCACATGATGCAATTGTTAAGGCCAATATTCATATTGCCATCATGTCCAAAGTTAGTTTTATATTAAGTTTGAAGAAAAGATAAAAGAATTTCAACCTGATAGAAATAAACGTTTCGACATCTGATTCAGTAACTATGTCCAAATCTAGTTTTTCATACAGAAAGTGTTACAGATTGCTGTGTGCTGGTTACAGATTTACTGTGTTGCTGGTGACGGCATGTCCTATGTACACCATTGCTAAAACAATGGAAACCACTATATTTTACGTACATTTTACATAACATTTGAATAAATAATATGAATAAATTATAAAACCTTTATTACCTTTACAAATTGATTACTGACAATGCTCTCAACCATTGATTAACATTTGAATGGGACAAAATTTTGAATATTATATCTTGTGAATTTTCTTTAATTTTTTATTGACAGGTTAACTTAAATTTGTTTCACATATTTATAAGAAATTCTTACAGTTTTATTCGTTAGCTTTAAAATTGTATCTAAGTTTTTTGCTTCCTCGTATTAATTTTTATATTTTGTCTATGGGGACTGTTTAATTTTTCGCAAGGTCCACAACTTATAAAATTTTCGGTCTCATATTTTGAGCTGCAAATATGATATATGCATTCTATTACATGTTGCATTCTATTGTATAGCGTTTTAAATTATTTCGTAATTGTAGATGTGATTTTTTACATAACACGAACTGTATGGATTACTGTAATGACAGTTTCTTGGATAATCTAAAAATTTGTTTAGTTGGGTAGTCTTTTTTGGTTAATCAAAATACGTACTTACTACAGTGTAAGTCAGGGAATTTTTTATCTGTTTCAGAACAGCTTATACAATTAAAAATGAAATTATTTTTATTTGCCTAAACACATAATTAATTTATTTTTCAATTAAAGTAAAACAGTAAAATTATGCTTACTGTTTTACTTTAATATAATGTGAGTAAGGTACTTTATTATAGTGTAAGTTTTACTGTAGTGTAAGTAAGGGAATTTTTTTTGTATGTGTTTCAAAAAAGCTTATATAATTAAAAATGAAATTCTTTTTGTTTACCTAAACACATAACTAATTTATTAATTTCTTTTTCAATTAACGTAAAACAGTAAAATTATTATTTACGTAATAAAAACTCTTCATAACTAAATAATTCTTTAAAACTATTCATATTATTATTCTTATCTTATTACACATAATAATATGAATCATATTATTTTTATATTAAAGTAAAAGAGTAATAAATTAAATTTTCCCTAGTAAATCAAAACGCATAACCCATTTCTGTTCAATAACAATTAAATCGGGAAACTATTTCTTAATCCACATAAAATAATACTCTAATCAACGTAAAATAAAAATACCTATTAATTATAAAATAATATTGAAAGTAAATGACGCAAAAGAATTATAAAATTCTCTTTGTGTCATATTTAAATCAATAAAATATAGCAAAATCTGAAATAAATGAGAACTTCAATTTTGCTTTCGTCTTTTATTCCCCACTTTGCAGCTCTCAAATCCTAAATTGCCTCGTATTTATAAGCAGTATAACTAAGAATTATAAACAAAAGAAAAATATATTTCTTTACTTGCAAAAATGTATGAGGAGACAGATTTTGCAGTTTTATATAAATCATACTCAAAATCACAAAGCATGGCGTTTTAATATTTTAATATTCTGAAATTTTTATTTACAGCTTCTAAAACAAGTTCCAGCATAGATTACAAGTAACCGTGTATAGATATCAGCAAAGCCTTTTACAGTGAATATGGCGGCGATATGAAAGGAGGAAGGAAATTGTTGCGTCGAGTTGGGTTAAGAATGACTAGGATGTCTTGGAGGGCAACACGTAGTTTAGTGCTTCTCTGCCAAAACTGAGCAATTGCAAAAAAGTTCGTTTTAAAGTGTTGTTCTCGTAAGGCGCTGCATTAGGGATTGCATTTTAAATTTACTATAACTTAAAAAAACTTAATCTCAGCATTTTATTTCACTATTGAACAACTTCGTAAGAAACTAGAAAATTTATTTCTCCTTTAATCTATAAACCAGAGCTTTTATCATTCAAGAATGGCAAAATCTCATTTTAGAAATAATTTCAGAAATTGTAAGAAAATGAAATACAAATTTTTAAACTTCTAAAGTTAAACTAATATAAATTTTTGCGGGATTTATGCTACGAATTTACATGACTTTTACTTGACTTTGATTTGGTTTATAACACAGTTTTATTACAAGTGGAGTGCATATGATTATTTTAAGAAAACATGGACTTCAACATAATATCAGCGTATTTAATTTTGATTATTTCACACATTAAGTCAAGTCAGATAAATTGCATATGCGTTTGTGACACTTGATTTTAAGTTTTGATAACAGTTAGCTTTTGATTGATTCTTCCCTTTATGCCTTGTTTTTTCATGTGCTTGCTCAGTCTTCTGAGCAAATTCTGTGGCAAGCGACTATAGTTAAAATGAATGACTCTGAGTAGATGTTGCCCTCTAAAGCCATTCTGAGTAGATACTGCTACTAATTGCCAAGAGAGACCCTTTAGTCTCAAGTATAATTGAACGCTTGATGTTGTCATGGTTGGTAAGTACTGAATGTTGCGCTTTTTCTGCTCTGCCAGTTAGTGTTGTAGTTTCAAGAATTATGATCCATATAAGATACTGTAGAGTTCCAGCGAAAAGCTTTCAACAAGGAATTGAATAACATGATTTATATTACTTTAAGTGTAAGAACTAAAATTACAAGGAAAAAGGCTTTATTTTAATTTGTACCTTTTGAGTTGTATCTTGATTTCACACTAAGTATTAAGAGACGATTACTCTTCAACAAGTAGAGGTTAACTTCTAAAGGTTAGCAATTAAAGGCAAATAGTATAATTAAATACTCAGACTGTTTTAACTGTTATATGTTTATCAAGTTTACTTTTATAATATTTATTTTCACTGATAAAAATATTTTACCATGCTGTTAAACTCGCTTTCTGAATTCGAGCTTTTTTATGTGACATGATTATATAGCTTTTACGTGAAATTTGAATTCAAACTTTTATATATAAAGCGTTATTGCTTATGCAACATTCAACATGAAAATAGTATATTTATAACTTAAATAATGATTGAAATTAAATAATATTATTACAGCGTAGTATTAAATAAACGAAGGTACCATGAAGAAAAAACTGAATAAATAGTAAGCATTAAACAGCTCAGATAAACGATTTTTAGGTATTACTTAATGAAACTATAATCCATTTTTTTAGGCTTTGTAAATGTTGTGGACTCAATGTTCTTAATAATTATATTTAACTGAATCTTAACCGCTGGATTGTAAGCAAAGAACAAAGCACATATAAAATAAATTATCTAAAGAAACGAATTTCTTTCGTTTGCGTTTAAAATTTGAGAACAATATACCAGCAAACAAGATTAATGACAATACATATATCGAGAAGGAAACATTTGAATAAAAATAATTACCTTCTTTCCGCATACAGACACTGAGGCATTTTTTCAGTCGACAGGCCTGGCACTGGTTTCTACGAGCAACGTCCACTACGCAGCGGCCTTGTTCTTTGCAAGAGTATTCTAAATTTCGACGTATACTGCGTTTGAAGAATCCTCGACACCCATCACAGCTAGGAACTCCATAGTGTCGACCAGAGGCCTTGTCTCCACAAACACGGCACAATACTTCCGGTTTGTCTGGCGCCATATTCATTGCCCTAAAGAAAATTTGACAGTCTTAAACGTTATAAAAACTTAATTGTAGTACATGTAAACGTGGTGTTTATATACCCCTAGTGGAGGGAAATGATTTTCCAAAGAACTTCAAAAGGTTCAAAGCTTCAGAAGGTTTCCAAAAGGTTTGAGCTTCAAATTAAAATGCATATGATTTACATCGAATTTTTTTAAATAAAGAACATTGCTAAAAAACATTGTATGGTTAGACAATTTTCTTAGCACAAAAGCAATATTTAAATTAAATTCGCAAAGCTAAAAATTTCGGTATTTAAATTCGGGTAATTTTAACTGCAGCGCTAAAACTTTCGGTACTTTCCAGTGATCTTTAAAAGCTTTATTCGTTCAAAATTAAACTACTTAGGAATTCCTTTAAATATTTTGAACTCTTCAGAACTGTAAAACTTCCTAAAATAGTAAAATATAAAGTAAGATTATACCATGACAAGTAATAAATATTGATAAGCAAATAAGATTTCGGTCATAGTTCATAATTTAAAAATGAGTTTTAAAGAAAATTAACAAAGAGTAGCTAGTTTGATACACAAAATGGGCTATGTGTATAAAATAGGTTTTCTAAATGCAGAAACAAACATATTAATGTTTTGTTACAACTAAAATAAAAAGTACTTTAGCTTCATTTTTATAATTAAAAGATAATAAATAATAAATTTTGGAACAAAATATTTATAGATATTTTTATAAAGATGTAAAGGAGTATATTTCCCAAAAGAGATGAAGAAAGGTCAATCAACTGTCTTAACTTACAGTTAATTAGTCCAAAAGTTAAGATGAAGATATAGGCTTTAATTTTGCGTTTACTGTCGTTTCTACTTTTGTCGGCCTGTATAACGATACAAACTAGTTAAGAAGAATACTTCTTATATGCACTTAGAGTAAGCTTCCGGCAGTTACTGACCGTTTCAATGCTAGTTCAATGCTTCTTCCAGTTTCTAAATTTACTTGAATCTACTTCAGCTTTTATTACCCCTGTTTGCTCCCGCGAGTCGAGGGCCTGAACCAAAACTTACAAATGGAATTTATCTTTTGAATATCAAATTTTAAATCCGTAAGTTTCACTTTAACTTTTGTGTTCCGTTATTCCTGGAAGAAACGGAGACTTTTGTTACTGCACGAGCTATGAGACTAAAGAACTAATGAAAAGGTTATATAAAATCTTCTTCTGTGTCCGCTATTGTTTTATTGAAAGACTAGGATGGGCGATGAACCTTCTTTATTGTTTACACAGCGCCGGATATAACATTTAAAGGAGTAAAGTTCCGCACATATAGTTATTAGAAAAGAAATATACTGGTTTAATAATTTATAAAATATGCACGGAAAAATATGACGATGAAACTTAATGGTATCACCTTTTCTTCACTTTCCGTACGGTGATGGCAAAATCACCACGAGTCATCTCAGTAGGCAAAATGAACACGTTTGCAGCTGTAAAGGTGCTTTGCGTTTCAGAACTCATAAAAACAAAATCTGTTTCTGATGAATAGCAAAACTTGATTAGACAATCATCTTGAAACAAGATCTCTTTGTTTAAGCTGTTTGTAAAAATTTTGACTATTTGCGAAGTTTTGGCTGTTTCTTTAAGTCCAAGGTGACCTCTCATATCTGAGGAACAAGTTGATTCCATTTTAGACTTTTTCAAGATTTCTTCAAATTCATACTGGATTGTTGTTATTACCAGTTTCACTAGTCTGACAATGATCATCACAATCCATGACATTCATCCTGACAAGGAGTCACATGTGCCTATCGTTGGCTAGAGCTTTGTGCACCATATAGGTGACAATCCAAAGTTAGCTCATTTCATCCCCTATTTCTAAGAGAGGGACCCCGGGAGGGCACGGATCCGAGAGTCTCTCACCCCTCTTTACCTTTCTCCAGCCTCTCGAGAGGACTCTCAGCTCGCCGCATATTTATAAGGCGCCTTTGCCACACAAACACTATACGTTTAAAAAGATCCATGCCTTCTCCGGGATTCGAAACTGGACGTTTCGATACGGCAGTTAGAGTCATTAACCACATCCAAGTTGGGCGGAAAATAGGAATAAATGGCATCGTTTCATTGTCAAAGAAATTCAACAGCGAAGAAGGTCTTGAAATTCAGTTTTGTACAGCCTATAATTAGAAATGTTTTTCGAAAGTAACTAATTTCACACAGATTTAAAGATTTGAAGCACCTAAATGAACTTTAAAAATGTAAAATAAGCTTTCTAGTCTAGAGACTTTGCCATTTTATCAAGTCAGTTATATGACACAAGGTGATTCCCTACACCATTGCACGAAATATATGAGAAAAACTTGACTACACGAAATACATGCATGTACTTATCAAGTTTCATCGCCTATTTTCACCTTGATTTTTCTGATAAGATATTGAAACTGAATAATATTTTTTTTTTACATCTAGTGCTTTTGAGCAGCTACTAAACATAAATAGTATTATGTATCATCGTTGAAACTGCATTACTTTCCAGTTAAAGAAATTTGTCGCCAGAACCGATGAAAAAAAATATTTGTAAAGATTATTAGCTCAGTCTTAAAATAATGAAACACTTGCATTTTCCAGTGAGGATAAAATAATTTTAGAATGACGGAGAATGGCACTAACCTTGAATTATTCGGAAGTATTGAAAATTACTTGTAAAGTAGGATTTTAGATAGCTTCAGTGACTTAGATGTTTTAATGTGCCAGTATTTAATATTCTCATTTCAAAATGCTTGCGGGAAATGCTTATAGAGAACTTTTGCTTGAAATCTGAAATATTATTACTTAGTAACTTTTTAAGTAATGAATATCTCTTGGAACATATGCACTTGCTCATATGGAACATATGCATTTTGCTTGATATATTGATATATTGCTTGATATATTGAGCTCATGTCATTTCTGGAAGGATTCTAATCATGCTACTTTTGATATCTACCACAAACTCACTTTCAGGTTGTGTTTGGAGATCTTGAAATGTTTTAAAACTATAACAGTCGAAAGAGAACAGAAGAGGGTGAGGATTCTGGCAAATAAAGCTACTTATTGCTTGATAGAATCTGTTTCTGATCAAAGGACCTGGAGTTTCTTTGCCCAAATACTCTTTGCTCAAAACCTGACATCGTACTGAATATCGAAAATTGTTTTAATTTTTTATCGTAATAGAAACTATGCATGAAACAGGATGTCATTCTATAGAAAGTACACTAAAATCTATTTATAGCTAAAATTTAAGTACTATACGATTTGCTTACATGATTAACTCTTCATGGACTTTTTGATCATAGGTGTCACTTTCAAATAATTTTTAAGTTCTTGTCGCTATGTACCCTATGCCGTACATTAAGAAATCTTATATCAGTTATCTTATGTACAATGAATAATTAGGTACATAATGATTTTCCCTAATCTGCTTTCGATCTATATAACTATTCATTTTTCAAAATTGCTATAACGATTTATAATTACTATATGCTTAATGTTTTATATGTGCAGTAGATACAATCAATATATCATTAGGGCCGGAGCTAGGTCTTTTGTCACCCGGTAAAATGTCTATGGCTCCCAATATTCTGCCATCCTGTGTCTACCTCAATCTAAACATTTTTCCGTCATTGCGGCTGCACCGTTTGCATACCGACACTGTCACCAGTTCTGAAAGATGTATGCAAAGAGTAAAATGATAACTGTTTTCCACTATGTCACATAGTTAAATTTATGACACTTGCAAAAGTTGTATTTTTATATAGTTTTGATGATTATGGATTTTTATATGGTGATTACGGATTCCTGTTTCATTATCAAGATTAGATGGTTATAAGGTTGCATTAGGGAAGATGGTTATAAGGTTGCATTAGGGAAGATGGTTATAAGGTAGCATTAGGGAAATACTCATGAAATTAATAAGATCCTGAATGAAAAATCATATTATAGGTTTCAGAACTTCAACATAAAAAAGGAAACAAAAAAAAAAAAAAAAAAAAAAAAAAAAGGCACAGAAAGGAATACTCATAAATTGATTTCATCAACTAAATTAAAGGTTTTACCATATATACTTCATAATCGTTCTAGTCTAGAGTAATGTTTTCGTGCATAAGCAAAATAATCACATTACTTTTACGATTATTTTTAAATTTGCTTTAGAATTGATAATTTTGCTTGATATATTAGGGTGAAAAAGAGCACAAATGTTTTCCAAAGTTTCCTGAAAATTGATATCTATCTCAGTGATTAGGGTATCAGTTTTTGCGTTTTCTAAATGGTCATACCATTGGGAAAAAGAAAAAAATCTATAATCGTTGGTCTAAAATATTTGAGATCAATTCCTTTTTCTTTTTTCTTTTTCTTTTTATATGCAGAACCAAGATCACTGATGTGATTTTCTAACTTAATAATCTAACTTATAATAACCTTCCATAATCTATTCCCACCTCTCAGAAGTTTGAAAGGCAGTTATGCGATTTTTCAATTTTTAGATACTTCATACAGAACATTACAAGAATTCATATGTGAGTCACTTCATAAGCAGTTATGGTAATAATTTCAGTATAAACTGAAGCACAAGTTAATATTTTTAAAATACTCATGACACTAAATTTATTAGAGTTAAATACATTAAATAGAATGAATATCACATTAAAGCTTAGAATTATTATTTCAGGTGCTACTCTTATAACCGAATTTCTTGAATAAATTTCTTCTGCACTTAAAAACTTTAGTCATGAATTCCAGCATGAATGCCTACTTCCTTAATTAGGATTTATCTTCATTGTTATGGATTATAACAAATCACACTCAACAATTTAAACATGCATAAATATCAAAGTAAAACCTCCTAGTTGCAAAAACTCTAGTATAAGAAACTTTTGGATATAAGTGAGGGAAATAATATTTTGGGGGAAAAATATTAAAATATTAAGGCAATCTCACGGTTCTAAGAAACTAAGAAATGTCTAGTGTGGCGAGTAACGAAATCTA